GAGAGAGAGAGAGAGAGAGAGAGAGAGGAAAAAATAAAAAAAAAGAAACGGAATGTTACTCGTGTTTCGTGTAATAACGACTTTTGTCGTTTCGCTCGCGGAAAGAAGGCACGCGATCAAATTATCGGTTGATGAAACGTAAGTAAGCGTAAACAGAATTGCGTGCCCAACGTACCAAAGGATCTTAAGGATCATTTAAAAATATTTAATTGCCCGCGAAATTGCATGGCACGAGCAATTACATTTCCCACTTTTCACATAGATCACTGTAATAATTCATCGCTCGCTATCGTTCATTTTCACGATCTTTCGTATTATTATTTCGAAATCGGAAGGAATAAACAATTGTCGTACGATCGGGTTACCGAGATGAAAAATGTATTACTTTGTCCATCGAATCCAAATCCAAAGCCATAGTTCTTTTTACAGGAGTCGTGTCGCTTTTTTTTTTTTTTTTCTTAACTGTAACTCATAACTTTCGAACAAACGAAATATGCGAATACCAAAATGAAAGCACGTTTCATTCTATGAATTTAACGCAGCAGCCGACTGCGTTTCGAACCGAACCGAAAATTAACTTCGATCTAAATTCTACGATGCACGTTATACGTTCATTTTACGGTGTAATTTTCGAACGTGTTAACGGAAAAAAAAAAAAAAAAAGAAAAAGAAAAAAAGAAAAAGAAAAGAGAATAGATAAAAACAGTTGCAGGACGATTCGAGGAAACCGGATTCACTGTGACTCGACTAAAAGTGGAGGCGCAACACTCGAAAACCGACTAGAGCCGACGGACAGGTAAAATTTGGGAGGAGGGACGGAAAAGGAAAAAAACGTAACTAATTGAGGGACAAAGGGGTGTTGTTGAAGATCCACCTGCCGGTTTGAACAACCCCTCCATGTTCCCGCCCCACGGCCAATCGCGCGTCCCTCCTCGCTCTACCCTACTTCATCCCTTACGCACGCTCCGAACGCGACGACGCCTTCGCCTCCCAGCCCTCGCCGTCGCTTTCCAAAATCGCTTTCCACGATCATCCTTTTTTCGTTTTCGCCTCGATTATATATTACCGATGATATGATGCCGGGAATCGACGATCGATCTTTTCGGCCGGTACCCATAATTAATTACTCGCCTTTTCGTAGGGGAGGAAGAAAAAAGTTGGGGGAGGGGGGAGGGGAGGAAAGAAAAAAAGAAAGAGGAGGGAGAGATTTTGAGGGACGACGAAATTATCTTTTCCTTTTTTCGGCTGGAGAGGTGATGTTATTAGAGATAATAATCTCATAAAATAATAATTCTCCGAAGGCTGGCCGAATGCGGACAGGTCGGAAAGTGAAGGACAGGCGGGTCGGCAAAAGAAGAAGAGGCTTTTCGTTCTTCTGCCTACTCTTCACGAGTAGTACGGGTATCCGCGAGAACCAAGATCCCACCTTTGGGATGGCTATTACATTAACGAGTGGTGGCGGCCATTGTCTGGTCGAAACGCGGGGCAGACCGCACGATCATGCCCACCTATAATTTCTAAACTTCAATTGCTCTCTTCTGGACGGATTGCACTATTTTTTTTTTTTTTACGAATGTAACGCAAATTTAAAAAATAATAATAATAATAATAATAATCGGATACTCTTTTCGTTTTATTTGAAAAGATGAAAACGAATAGATTCTTTTTTTTTTTTTAGAAATACAGTTAATAAAAAAGCGATGACACAAGCTCGATGAACAAAGATAATCAAAGAAAATACGCGTGTTTCTTTTTCTTTCTTTCTTTTTTTTTTTTTGAAATGGCAAAGAACGATTTTGGGGAAGGGAATGTTTGCCTGTTTAAAATCCAAAGCGAATTCGCTGGATCACGGTGCGTCTAATGGCACTTCGTTCTCGGTCTCGTTCGATTCCACGGCTTCTTTGAACTCGCGGTCGGCTTTTTCCACGGCCACGGGAACGTCGACAGATCATTTCTCACATTTCGCGCGCGTCTAACGATCATTTTCTTTTTCTTCCAGCACCCCTGCACGGGGTCGCCCTTTTTCGGATAATAATTCCTGCATTACTCGACAAAATTTTTAGACCAATGCCCCTTTCGACCGAGCGTCGAAAAAGGTATATAAGGCTGGCAGCGTTCGTGCCTCCGATACAACGCTACAGCTCGCTTCCATATAATACCAGAACGAGGGATTCCACGCCACGAATGCGCCATCACGATTGTCCTATCCTTCGATGACAAATATATCGAGGTAAATCTTATTTGCAGCCCTTGACAAAAGGGTGCCAATGACCGATACCGACACGCTTTCAACCGTCTTTCCATTTGACGTCTCATTTTCCCTCCGTTTCCTCGCTATGGAGACGTGTAAATGTCAACGCCTGAAAATTTTCAACGAGACTTACGCGCACCTGGTGCGATTATAAATAGCCCAACTCGTAATTCATCCATTCTCCGATTCGATTATTAATTGTCCCCCACCGTGTCCACCAGAATCGAGATCGAGATGGTTAAACACTTTTAACCAAAAGATTATATATTATTTAATTATATTCGTAAAACTTAGCGAAAATCGTCCCTTATTCATCGTAACAATGACAACAAAATTTGCAATTTTCGAGTTAGATAGAAATGAATTTTATTCCCTAAAATCGTAATTTTTGCGAGAAAGGATTTTGTTGATTTTCAAAATTTCGAACGATCGAGGTTATTTTTATTGGACGCGGTTTAGATAGATTACTTAAGTTTCGGTCGACATACCTCAAAGGACGGTAATCCGTGACTGAATGAACGAAGGGATAATCCACAATTCCAACGATCACAACGTCGTGTCACAGTTTCAAAGTTTCAATCAAAACCACCTTATTACTTTTAGTTATTTTTTTTAATTTTCACACTGTTCACATCACCGAGAGCAACGTAAGAAAGAATCGCAACGAACGAGACTTTTACCACTCTCTCGACCAAACTCGCGAATACCTCGCATCGTACACGCACTTTTTCTCCATAAAAAAAACTGTCCTTTGGCGCGAAAATACTGGAGGGGGAACTAGATTAATCTATATTGGGAGAAGATCGAGGATCGCGCGAGCCTGAGGAAACTCGGGAAACGATATATATTTGGATGGAATTTTGTTTCACGCGATTATCGCGATTATCGTGCGCGAGGAGTATCGTAACAGCCGGCACTGGCCGATGATTTTGATGCAGGCACAGCATGGAGTCGACTGATAGTCTATCGCGTAGCAAGGCATTGCCTAACCATGGCCAAGACGAGTATTGTGCCAAGCGACGGGTTCTCCGTTAAAAAACGGACCAATCACGACGGGGTTGGCTGTTATTCCAATATGGCTGCCACACAATGCGCGCTCCAGGCCTGGAGAGAAGGGAGGGAAGGTTTCTACCCATAATGCCATTCCCCGACTCCCCACTGTGACCAGGGAGCGTATACCGAGTCTCGATCGGTCCACGTAGCCACGTATCAGCTTATCCAAGGGTGCATCCTACCAACGAGTCCCGAGACTCGCTTTATCCTCGCAAAAATCTCCATCGATCTTTTACCAAAACCATTTTCCGTCTTTCCGTTTCCGATTAACAAAACTCGCGCGAGTATTCCATTCTTGCAATTCTTGCATTTAATAAATACAATTTGTGTTAAATGACAGAAAAAGAGAATAAAGGTAATAAAATGTATTTGTCCGATCGAACTTCGAGATCAGACTCGATAGATGATCGAAACACTACTGTAAAATCACTGCCGATTGTATCTAAATCCTGTCAAATGCCCGTCCCATCGATCGACCCTTTATTCTTGTGTCGTCGCTCTTATTCGAATTCCGTCACAGGATCGTCTCGCATAAAACCGGATTAGATTGGATAATTATTAATCTCTCGATGATATTTTTTAAAATAAACTACCTCGATACTTTGGAAGAATGTACGAATTGTGAGGCAAGATAGAATAATCTTTATCGATCAACGAGTACAAATCATTGTATCGCCCTCGTCAACTATCCTAGGATAAGCGAATTGCGATCACCGACGAAAGTATATATATATATATATATATATACGTATAACGTAACAATGCGTGCTCGATCTTCTGGAACGTTGGTGAAAGAATCAAGTCTAAAATCATCCTCTGGTATAGGTACGATAAATAATAGTGGATGCATGAACTTGTGCTTTTCCAACATTGTGCCTCGTCCTGTAATATCTACCGATCTTTGACTTTTTCTTCAACTTCCTTATGAAATGAATACGCATCGCCACGATAAAAATATTAACGATACAGACCTTTTTCTCTACGAAAAGATCGATATCTTTTAAATTATAAATTCGTTCCCCTATTTAATTTTCACTCCGACTCGAATTGTTTCTCATATATTTATTTGTATCATTGTT